CGTTCACAGGTGTCAAGCCATGATGTGGCATTGTTCGCCAGGCCGAACGAGGTGGATCTCAGGTTCGTTACTATGGCCCTCAAAGCGTTTGGGGACGCTTCGGGATTGGGAGTCAACTACTGCAAAACATCCGCAGTTATCCATGGTGAGGAGTTGGACAAAAACGGGGTTTTTATCATTTATGCCACGGGTTGTGTCCCACTACTCAGTTTTGCCACTAGGAATTTCAACTGCTCAAAAATACCATCGCTTCGTTAGACACATCCTCAAAAATGCCACTGGACACCATTATTATGATCTCAAATCTCTTTTGCCATGTTATAATGACATAAATACCTATGAACCAACATGCCAGCTCTCCCTCTATCTTACTACAATAAAGTGTGAGGCCCACTTGTTCCCAACGGCGTTCTTATTTTCTTGTACAATTATTCGCTTGGTTACTCCTGACAAGTGGGGCCACACTTATAATTGTGAGATAGATAGAACTGACATGTGGGTCTAGGCTTATTTTTGTCATATAACATGGTCAACGGGTTTGACGTGAAAATAACAATGTCTAATGGCATTTTTTAGCAAACTGGCATTTTTGAGATATCTAATGGCATTTTTGAGATATCTAATGGCATTTTTGAGCAAGCATCTCACGAATCAATGGCCTTTTTGAGTAGCTGTAACTTCTAATGGCAAAACTGAGTAGCGGGGCACAACTAGTGGCATAAATGATAAAAAAAACAACATAATTCTCAACCTGTTACAGTGCGATCTGGGGAAGTTTCCGTGCAACTCTCGCCGTACACCAGCCCAAAAGGGCGGACTGGCAGCCTATGTTGGATAGAGCGAAGAAGTGTGCCCCAGGGTGCCAACGAGGCCTGTTACAGTGTTCGGGTCAGCTAGTGTTGGTCAAGTCTGTGATCGTTGCGAAACCGATCCACCACTTCATAATCACGGGCGCGCCGGCATGGGTGTTTCGAGAACTTGATAAATAGATGAGGGTGTTTTTCTGGGCAGGCAAGGAGAAGGCCTCCGGAGGACAATGCATGGTAGCTTGGAGCATGGTATGCAAGCCGACGTGCTTCGGTGGGCTTGGAATTACAAACCTCAAATTGCATGGCCTTGCTCTCAGTCAGGTGGGAGTGGCTGAAGCGCACGGATTCAGAGAGACCATGGCAGGGTCTGAACATGATCAATGATAAGGATGCCCGAGCAGTTTTTGACAGTATGGTCAAGATCAAGGTAGGGAAGGGCACTAAGGTCTTATTCTAGAGGGACCATTGGATCCATGTGTTTGCAGCGGTTGACATAGCGCCGATGATTCACGCTCAGGTAGATACGCGCACCAAACAGACGCACGGTCAAGGAGGGTCTGGACAACGGAAGATGGTTACAGGATGTTGTGGGGGAGCTCACTTTTGTGGGTCACCTCAATCTGGCCATTAGCACCGTTCAGCGAGATACCGGTGTGTCGGATACCTTCTCTTGGCCAGCTGAATCTTCTGGTGTGTACTCGGCCAGTTCGACATATCAACGGTTGTGCCTCGGTGATGTCAAGGCCCCATATGCATCTTGCATCTGAAAGAGTTGGGCACTTTTCAAGTGCAAGATCTTTGCTTGGTTGGCGGTCCAGCATTGTATCTGAACTTCGGACCGCCGAGCCAAGCATGGTCTACAAGATCACCCCTCGACTTGCTACACGTGCTTACAGGATGAAGACAATGCAGAACATATTTTGATACGCTGCGGATATGCACGCGAGATGTGCGGATATGCACACGAGGTGTGGCACGTTTGCTCCAATACATTAAACTTGAGCATCAGGACTCCGGACGTACATGATACTTTCTTGGATTGGTGGATTGAGACCATGGGGAGTTTGGCTAGGGGTTTGAAGAGAGGTTTCGATACCTTAGTCATCTTAGTTGCTTGGGAGCTCTGGAAGCAATGGAAGGATACTTTCTTGGATTGATGGATCGAGACCAGAGGAGTTTGGCTAGGGATTTGAAGAGAGGTTTCGATACCTTTGTCATCTTAGTTGCTTGGGAGCTCTAGAAGCAACGGAACGTGCGCGTGTTTAACAGGACGCACAAGACCCCGTTGGAGTTGGCCGACGACATCTTCAGAGTTGTAGAACAATGAAGACAAGCGGTTGTTGGAGTTGGTGGTTTACTATATTTTGTGAAAGAATAGCCTTCGAGTAGTTTGTGTGGGTTGTATTGGGTGGTGGGCGAGTGTGGATGTACCCATCTAACTTGTATATAGATTTTCTATCTTCTATAAAAATATGGTACGCTTTTGACGTGCTACGTGCTCTCAAAAAAAAAATTGCTCCTAACAATGAGCAAGGGCCATACCAGAGTCGTGCTGAAAACTGACTGCCAGGCAGTCTATGATGCATGGCACCAACATGATCGCTCGATGGGAGGGAGTATCTTCAGGGAGAAGCGCACCTATCTTCCGAACTTGCAGGGATTTGAGATTTGTCGGACTGGTCGTGATGCAAACGTTGCTGCCCATACTTGTGCCAAAGAGTCTTTGGCGTCCACACTAGTTCTATTATTTTTCCTGTAATCCCTGATTTTCTGCTTGACATTGTACAATCAGACTTGGTCCACCAAAATGAATAAAATGCCTTGAGGGCGGTTCTGGAAAAAAAAAATTACATAGCTACATAATTTATTTTTTTGCGGGAAGAAAATGCTACTTTAACATAAAATGCTACAACTGCACCACATGGTAACATTCCTTAGTATGGCCACTGAACCACACGAAACGTTACTTTAGACTGATGGATTTGATTACGGACGAGTTGACCTGCTCTGGGCTAAAAACAACTGACGTGGTCTGTTATTTTAGAACTGCCCTACTACTCACTTGTAGATACAAAAAGGGCAAAAGATAGAGGATGATGAAAAGGAAGAAAGGTCAAGGCAATGTCCGAGTCAGCCCAGCATCAAATAGGTAAGGGCAATGAAGTGCTTCTGCAGAGGCCAAATATTTCGTGAGTTAGAACGAGAGGATAGGTACACAAGGTTCATAGAAATGATAGTTACTGTGCAATTAGCTGCTCACATAGATATGCAATTGACACTTCGTGAGAACAAATTCATCAGGCTGATGGCCATAATGCAAAGTTTAAAAAAAATGCAAGTTTTACAATTGCCAACGAATACCAAAAGCCTACAATTTCAAAATCCTTTCACCCTAAAGCAGACTTGTTGATGGAGGCATGTGAGAATCACCATCTTTCAAAGGTGGTGTATGCAAGAACGACAAAGAAAAGACAGTTCATCTTCTAGTCAGCTGCTAATCACATACCAGGTATATTCATAACCATAATACTCCAAGAGACTTCTTGTTGCAGTGGTATGTAAGTACCAGAACATAATCCAATAAGTGATGCATTGAAACCAGAACACAGCTTAGCTAGAGTAAAACATCACCTGTACAAGAGGAAGAAGTGAGGACTCAACCATGAAGGACCTTTAATGGATCTAACTGCCCACTGCAGTAGCTGGAAGGAACAGCGGAGAGCCCAAGCCTTCCTTTCCACTCTTCACCAGGCTTGAGGGTAATTGGCTTCTCAACGGCTGCAGGCTCCACACAAAGCATGTGCTTGTATTCTGAATCCCCAAAATCTTGCATAGCTTTTGCCTTCTTATCCCAAGGGTTCCAAACAACTAGAGAACAACAGGTAATGATGAAGATGAAAGTAATTTGCAGCAATAGATTTCATTAAATTCAACATAAAAAGGTTTTCCATTAAATCAAGCTTACCAGCATCGGGAAGTCCTTCTTTTGTCACGACGAATGTTCTTCTCATGTCATGATCAATAATTGCAACTTTCGAGGGTGCAGCAAGATATACCTTATCAACCTTTATGACAAATCAATTACAGGTAGGAAGCATGAGATATCAAGTATTTACATTGATAGTTACTCTCTCCTTTCTGGTTTATAGGGTTCAACACAACCAACCAAGATAGATGATGAGTGGTGGAATAATTTTCGTAGTTTGCAAAAGTACTCAATTAATGCGCTCGTTTTCCTCAAATAATTGTGTTTACCAATGCATTAATTGCAATGCATGCATGCATGACCAATAAATAACTACGAACTTCTACATGCATGACCAACAAATAACTACGAACTTCCTCACATGCAGTGATTTAATGCACCTTGATATCTAAGTGTGTGATGGGAAGCAATAGAAATGAGACTTATAAAACGGTAAAACGAAAGTTTTGAGATAAGCCCTGTAAACCGAAAAGGAGGTAGTAGATTTTTTAAATGAAGTAATACACCTACTTCTGATTCAAATACAATAGCATCTCCTTGCTCTGTGAAACGCTCCTTTCCCTTCATGTTGTCAAGGTAGTCCATTGTTTCCAGCCCTTCGACGCGTACTTCACTACAGGGTTTATAAGAAGTGAGAATACTTGCAGTGGCAGTCTCAAATATTATTATCAATGAGAAACAAAGGCAAAAGAATAAAGAATTCGGCACTTCAAGCAATTGAAGTAACTCGACGGCAAGCTTGTAAAAAACGTCTTATATTGTGGGACGGATGGAGTATTTCTAAAAAAGGACAGACCCAGTGCATAGAAGCTCCCACACAAGGTGGGGTCTGGGGAGGGATTATAGGAACCTAGTCTTGCCCCTGCAAAGTGCAATGCAGAGAGGCTGGTTCGAACCCAGGACCTCTTGGCACAAGTGGGAGGACTTCACCACTGCGCCAGGCCTAATTAGCACAATCACTAGAATGACCACACAAGAATATATCAGTATTATATTTTCTTCAATTTAGTATTAATATGGAAAAGCATGCACCGAACATAGTTATGCTGCTCGTAGTGGGGAGTATCATACACTGTGATACTAGTCTATGATACTATCCTCATAGTGCATAGTACTCCCTCCGTCCAGGTGCATAGGGCGCCTAAGAGAATCCAAATTTTCCAAGAGTATTAGTCGTGTACACAGTTAATATCCCTCGTTCCTCTCGCACGCCTCCTTCGGAACCCCGTGTACACCAGCTAGTACTACTTCACTCATCCCACGCAACACAAGGAGGTAGTTCATTTCGTTGTGAGAAATTGAGATAGGAGTGCTCAGGCACTCAAGTTAGCACCCCTTTTGTGACACAACAACACTTGTAATCCCTCTCATTTTCAGATCAATGCAGAACAGGAGGTAGGATTTTACACTATCAATGGCGACCTGAACCTGTATAAAAATCCTTCGTGTCTTTTGTGACCTTTTCCAAAGGAAACAGAGCATTTTAGGCCCTAGTCGAACACAAAAATACAGGGTATCCTTGATCCCTGATGTCTAGAGTTGACACTTCAACGGCATCCCTGACACCTCGCATAGCGGTCAAGGCCAACAGGCACCGCTAAGCTCCACAGCCACGACCAAGCCGCCGTTGGGTAGCCAACCTCAGGGGCATCAAATCCGAGTGGGGGATCCGTCACGGCAGCCGCTTGAGCAACCTCCTACATCCATCGCAGGTCGCGACGCCACTTGGGCGTGCCATGCACAGCCGACGCACACCACCAGCGGTACCTTATTTTACTTGCTCTAAGAGCATCTCCAATACCTGGATAGTAGTGCAAACAACATAGTGAAGTACAAGATGGTGAAGAAGGCCGCAAAGCGAGCTGTTAGTGAAGCAAGGGGTCGGGCGTATGAGGACCTCTACCAACGGTTAGACACGAAGGAAGGCGAAAGGGACATCAATAAGATGGCCAAGATCCGAGAGAGGAAGACGAGGGATATTGGCCAAGTCAAATGCATCAAGGACGGAGCAAACCAACTCCTGGTGAAGGACGAGGAGATTAAGCATAGATGGCGGGAATACTTCGACACGCTGTTCAATGGGGAGAATGAGAGCTCTACCATTGAACTGGACGACTCCTTTGATGAGACCAGCATGCGTTTTGTGCGGCAAATCCAGGAGTCTGAGGTCAAGGAGACTTTAACAAGGATGAAAGGAGGCAAGGCGATGGGCCCTAATTGTATCCCCATTGAAGTGCGGAAAGGCCTCAGGGACATAGGGATAGTATGGCTAACCAAGCTTTTCAACCTCATTTTTTGGGCAAACAAGATGCCAGAAGAATGGAGACGGAGTATATTAGTACCGATCTTCAAGAACAAGGGGGATGTTCAAAGTTGTACTAATTACTGTGGAATTAAGCTGATGAGCCATACAATGAAGCTATGGGAGAGAGTCATTGAGCACCGCATAAGAAGAATGACAAGACCAAAAATCGGTTTGGTTTCATGCCTGGGAGGTCGACCATGGAAGCCATTTTCTTGGTGTGACAACTTATGGAGAGATCCAGGGAGCAAAAGATGGACTTGCATATGGTGTTCATTGACTTGAAGAAGGCATATGATAAGATACCGTGGAATGTCATGTGGTGGGACTTGGAGAAACACAAAGTCCCAGCAAAGTACATTACCCTCATCAAGGACATGTATGATAATGTTGTGACAAGTGTTCGAAAAAGTTATGTCGACACTGATGACTTCCCGATTAAGATAGGACTGCATCAGGGTCAGCTTTGAGCCCTTATCTTTTTGCCTTGGTGATGGATGAGGTCACAAGGGATATACAAGGAGATATCCCATGGTGTATGCTCTTTGCGGATGATGTGGTGCTAGTTGACGATAGTCGGACGGGGGTAAATAGGAAGTTAGAGTTATGGAGACAAACCTTGGAATCGAAAGGGTTTAGGCTTAGTAGAACTAAAACAGACTACATGATGTGCTGTTGCAGTACTACTAGGTGTGAAGGGGAGGAGGTTAGCCTTGATGGGCAGGTGGTGCCTCAGAAGGACACCTTTCGATATTTGGGGTCAATGTTGTAGGAGGATGGAGGTATTGATGAAGATGTGAACCATCGAATCAAAGCCGGATGGATGAAGTGGCGCCAAGTTTCTGGCATTCTCTGTGACAAGAGAGTGCCACAAAAGCTAAAAGGCAAGTTCTACAGGACGGCGGTTCGACTCGCAATGTTGTATGGCGCTGAGTGTTGGCCGCCTAAAAGGCGACATGTTCAACAATTAGGTGTGGCGGAGATGCATATGTTGAGATGGATGTGTGGCCACACGAGGAAGGATCGAGTCCAAAATGATGATATACGAGATAGAGTTGGGGTAGCACCAATTGAAGAGAAGCTTGTCCAACATCGTCTGAGATGGTTTGGGCGTATTCAGTGAAGGCCTCCAGAAGCTCTAGTGCATAGCGGACGGCTAAAGCGTGTGGAGAACTATGTTTTTAAGGCGACGCCTTACCGCCTTAGGGAGGGGGGGCGCTTTGGCGCCTAGGCGACGCCTAGGCGGGCGCTTTGGACGCCTAGGCGCCCAAAGCGGTCGATTTTCCAAAGCGGAGGGGGAGCGCTTCGACGCCTAGGCGTCGCCTAGGCGTCGCCTTAGGGACGCTTTAAAAACATAGGTGGAGAATGCCAAGAGAGGTCGGGGTAGACCGAATTTGACATAGGAGTCCGTTAAGAGAGACCTGAAGGATTGGAGTATCACCAAAGAACTAGCTAAGGACAGGGTACGTGGAAGCTTGCTATCCATGTGCCAGAGCCATGAGTTGGTCGCGAGATCTTATGGGTTTCACCTCTAGCCTACCCCAACTTGTTTCGGACTAAAGGCTTTGTTGTTGTTGTTATTTTTTTAAGAGCATCTCCAATAACTTGTTAGTTAGTTTGTTGGTCAACATATCCATGTCATCAACCAACAATGTATCATACACGTACTCCAATGGTTGTACTCCCTTCGTCTTTGAGAACAAGGCCACTTCGTTTTTTGTGTCAAACTTTTGACTCATAATTTTGGTCAACAAAATATGAGTTATATGTCATAAAAAATACTCCCTCCATTCCATAGTGTAGTGAATATAGATATTCTGTTAAGTCAAACTTTACAAACTTTGACCAAGTTTATAGAGAAAATTATTTGCATCTAGAATACTAAATATATACAATATGAAAATACGTCTTGTGATGTATATAATGACATGTATTTGGTATCCCAGATGTGTAAGTTTTTCTCCACGTTAAAGTTTGTAAAGTTTGACTTTTCAAAAAATCTATACGCATCATCAGAAAGTTCACCAAGATGTGCAGCCAACGGCATACTTTTTGTGGCATATAACTCTCATTTTATTGGTAAAATTAATGGACAAAGTTAGAACAAAAATATGAAGTGGCCTTGTATTCAAAGACGAAGGGAGTATGTAAGGTTGACCAATAGGAGGTGAGCGAATATGGAAGCTTGCTCTCTTTCTTTACCTCGGAGCTTGTGCACACGGTGTTGGTTCATTTTCATTCAACCTCACACTCTCTCTTCATTCATTACTTGACACATCATCGAAGATGCTTACTTGGCAATTTTACCGACAAGCATCTTACAGCTGAGCACACATCCAGCAAAGGGGAACCGAGGAAAGAGAGAGCACTGAGCACACATCCAGCAAAGGGGAACCGAGGAAAGAGAGAACACGCATGTCAGCAGCCTTTCAAGCACACACAGAGCTAGCTTGCTAGCTGGCCCAATAAACCCGGATGAAGGGACTAGTACTATACTACATCCCAAATTTATACGGCATAAGCCAAGACTGAGCGAGTGAATATAGTTGCATACATGCACATGACTATTAAAGCAGTGCACAATTGTACAAAACCAAATTCTGAATTTCCAACAAGATGTCAAAAAATGGAGCAGTCGATTGCAGAGGTTAAAATTTCATTAAAAATAATAATGCAGACAACAAAGCGAAAAAACATAAGAGACCATACCTTATGTCAGAAACAGAGAAGTATGTGTGATATGCAAATGTATAAGAAAAAGGTCTTCCATCAGTGTTGGTATTCCTGATTCGAGACGTGAGACTCAAATCTCCACCAGCACCAAGAGCAATTCTCAAGCGAAACTCGAAACTGTTAATGTTGAATAAGCCAAGAGCAGAGTCAGAAATGTATGTATACATCATCACATGCATAAAAGAGATAATTGTGCCTATTCATGGTTTAAGCATCTAACACAAACCTGTGTGGCCACATCTTTAAATCATCTTCACTAGGCTTCAGAATAAGATCAACAAAAGCTTTAATTGCAGGATTTACTGGTAAAGGGGGTGGATTATCATCAATAGCCCAAAGCCGATTTCTTGCAAATCCATGTTGCTCAAGATTTCCCTGAGTTCCAAACTGCATCAACATGGTAGTTCTCAGTGATAGGCAGAAAATAATTTTAACATGACCAGGTCATCATGGATGAAGGTTGCATACCTGGGGAAAGCAAATAGGTATCCCACCACGAAACGGTTTTGGAGGCTTGATGGCCTGAAAAAGAAAATTTTACTTTCAGAAACTGAGGCATTAACCTGGCCTGGATGTATAAGTACACATATGACAAGCATTGCAGCGCAATATATATCACGATTAGCACTTGAGCTAAAAAGAACTAGAATTGTCTGATTGAAACCCAATGGTAAAATCAGAAGCAATCATGGAAAAGGTTAAAAATGCAGAGATGAGGCGGATCTATTATGCAAAAATTAGAATCATACTGCATCAGGCAGTATGATTCATGATACACATGGCCAAAGACAGGATTATCTACCTTGCTGCTGACAAAAAGCAACTCCTCGCCATGGTCATTCTTCCATGAAGTTACTTGACCTCCAAAAAGACGGATCTGCGAATACAGAATACTTTAGTGATACTCATCATTACATCATGCGGTTTCACAATATAACAAACTGAAAGTCCAACGCATGGAAGACAACATGATATTACTTCCAAAAACAAAAGGGGTGAGGACGAAGAAATGAAGACGAAGGGAGAGGACTAGAGGCTCTCCTAGTTAGCATAAAAAAAGCACGGACACACCAGAAAATGCCAGTTTGCTGTCCTGATACGGCAGGATACGGGGGCACGGCAGGATATGTGAATCCAGCAGTATCCCCTGATTTTTTATTTCAAAAATAGAAAGAAAAAAGCAGGGATACAGCAGGATACGTAAGTGACACATTTGGGACACGGCCTGGCCCAAAAACAGCCTCGGTCCAATACACCCGATCTTGCAGGGTCGCACGTGTTAGAGTTATAATATAAATCATGTACCCCTTTGTATTTATCCCGTTGTATAAGGGGTTTCCTGCATATGTTTCACACCTGTACATGTATATATATCGGCCTATGGCCTCATGGGAATACAAGTTGCTTTCCTAACATGGTATTAGAGCATAGGTTCTTTTTCGCACGCGCAACTCGTGCTCTTCCCGATCCAATATTCTGCACAGCCGCCGGCGCTGTTCCTCCTACCCGTAGCTGCTCTGTTCCCTGCTGAAGGCAGTCTCGCTCGATCAATCTCGGCTTGCGCGAGACCGCTCGATCTCGGCAGCTCTTGTTCCTACGCGAGGCTGCTCGATCTCGGCTTACGCGAGCCCAGCCGCCGCTCGATCCCAGTCGCCCGCCCCGATCCAGTTGACCGTGCCCGCCCCGATCTGGTCGCCAGCGCCCGCCCGATCCAGTCGTCAGCGCCCGCCCCGACCCAGTTGCTCGCGCGCACCCCGCGATCCAGTCGCCCGTAGACGCTACTCCCTGCTCGCGCCCTGATTCCGCTGCTGGTGGTCTGCTGTTCCAGATTCTGCTGATTTGGGATCTCAAAAAAAAATGTCTGCTGCATCGGGCTATGTTGTTGTCCCTCACTGTCCGGTGATCTTCGATGGTACTAACTACACCGAGTTCACTGGCTTCATGCGCATTCACATGCGTGGCATCCGTCTCTGGGGTGTTCTTTCTGGCGAGGTCTGCTGTCCGCCACGTCCGGTTCCTCCGGTGGCTCCTATTCCGCCGACTCCACCGGTTCTTCCTCCGGATGCTAATCAGGCCGCCAAGGATGCGGCTAAGCTTGCTGATGAGGCTACTGATCGTGCTTATGATGAGAGGGTTTTGGCTTATGAGGAGGCTCTTCAGACGCATCATGGTGCTCTGTCTGTTTACACCCAGTGGCTTGATGATGATGCTCGTGCTGCAGCTGTTCTCACTGCTAGTGTTCTGCCTTAGTTTGCTTCTGAGTTTCTGGGTCTTCCTACTGTCTTTGAGATGTGGACCCGTCTTCGTCAGCGCTATCAGCCCTCTGGTGATGCCTTATACCTTTCTGTGGTCCGTCAGGAGCATGCTCTTCAGCAGGGTGACTCTACTGTTGATGACTTCTATGCACAGAGTTCTGCTAACTGGCGCCAGCTTGATTCTCTCCGCAGTGCTGGTTGTCGTACCTGCCCCTGTTGCCAGGCTGTCCAGGCCAATTTGGAGTTTCATCGCGTCTATGAGTTCCTGTCTCGGCTCCGTAAGGAGTTTGAGCCCCGGCGTGCTCAGTTGTTTGCTCGTGGCCGTATTTCTCTCATGGAGGCGCTTTCTGAGATTCGTGCTGAGGAGACTCGCTTACATGGTGCTGGTTTGCTGGAGGTTCCCTCTGTGCTCGTTACTCGTGCTCCTACGCCACCTGCTGCACCGACCCCTTCTCGCTCGAGTGCTCCGCCGCTCTTGCCCACTCCTTCTGGAGGCTCAGGTCGCCCTCGTCCACATTGCGACTATTGCAACAATGATGGTCATCTTGAGTCTCAGTGCTACACGAACAAGAAACACCTGCGCAAGGCGCGATCATCATCCTCAGGGACTTTGTCATCTACCTCGACAGCTTCAGCCATTGCTTTGACTGAGCAGGATATTCTGAGACTTAAGCGTCTGCTCGCGGCTTCAGGTTCTTCCTCAACGGGTACTGCTGGTTCTGTGACTGATGCTTCCCGCACTGAGCAATCACCCTCTACACAGTCAGGTACATCCCCATGGGTTCTGGACTCTGGAGCTTCTTTTCATATGTCTTCTCATTCTTCCATTTTGTCCTCTTGTCGATCACTGGATTCTCCTGTTCATGTCTTCACTGCTGATGGTACTCCACTTTCTGTTGCTAGTAGAGGCAATCTTACCACTCCTTATTCTGTTCCTGATGTTGCTCATGTTCCTCGACTTACCATGAATCTGTTTTCTGCTGGTCAACTTACTGATTCTGGTTGTCGCGTCATCCTTGACGTTGACTCTTGTTCTGTCCAGGACCGTCGCACGCACACTCTGGTTGGGGCTGGCCCTCGCCGCCGTGATTCTCAGGGTCTTTGGGAGTTGGACTGGCTTCATGTTCCTTCCGCTGCCACCACCATCGCTAGTTCTTCCGTTTCTGTCGCCTCCGTTACTGGTTCCTTCCAGCAGTGGCATCATCGACTTGGTCATCTGTGTGGTTCTCGGTTGTCTTCTTTAGTTCGTCGAGGTCTTCTGGGGTCTGTCTCAGGAGATGTCTCTTTAGAGTGTCATGGTTGTCGTCTTGGCAAGCAGATTCAGTTACCATATTCACATAGTAAGTCAGTGTCCAAGTGTCTTTCGATTTAGTCCATTCTGATGTATGGGGTTCGGCCCCTTTCGCTTCGAAAGGTGGTCATAAATACTATATTATTTTCATAGATGATTTCTCTCGTTACACATGGCTTTATTTCATGACTTCTCGTTCTGGGGTGTTGTCTATTTATAAGCGTTTTGCTGCCATGGTTCATACTCAGTTCTCTTCACCCATTCGTGTTTTTCGTGCTGACTCCGCTGGCGAGTATATCTCTAAGATGTTGCGTGGTGTTCTTGCTGAGCAAGGGACTCTCTCTCAATTCTCTTGTCCTGGTGCTCATGCTCAGAATGGTGTGGCTGAGCGAAAGCATAGACATCTTCTTGAGACGGCTCGTGCATTGATGATTGCTGCCTTTCTCCCGCCTAATTTTTGGGCTGAGGCCGTCTCCACATCCACCTATCTTATCAATACACAGCCTTCCGCTGCTCTACAGGGTGGTGTTCCTTTCGAGCGACTTTTTGATCGTTCTCTCGATTATTCGATGCTTCGCTCGTTTGGTTGTGTTTGCTATGTTCTTCTTGCCCCTCGCGAACGCATCAAGCTGACCGCTCAGTCTGTTGAGTGTGTCTTCTTAGGCTATAGTGATGAGCATAAGGGCTATCGTTGTTGGGATCCTATCGGTCGTCGGATGCGTATCTCTCGAGACGTGACTTTTGATGAGTCTCGTCCCTTCTACCCACGCCCATCTTCCTCGGCTTTTTCAGTGCAGGATATCTCTTTCCTCACTTTTCCTGACTCACCTATCACCCCCGTCGAGCCTGTACCTCTCCGTTCCACTTCCTCTCCTTCTCCACCTCTAGTTGATTTGCAGCCACCATCCTCCCCGGTCTCCTCGCCTAGCATGTCACCGGGTTCTCCACCTTCATCTCCGGTGACTTCCTCCCCGATCTCCTCTCCCAGCATGTCACCGGATTCTACACCTTCATCTCTGGTGACTTCTTCGTCGCCACCCCCCGATTCTACCTTGACGATTCCTCCTTCTATTATTCCATCTTTTCCTCAGCATTACACTCGTCGTCCACGACCAGTCGATGCCTCTGTGGATGAGTCGTCATCTTCCTCTCAGCCTACTTATGGCTTGCGTTCTCGTCCTCGTCCGCCTGTTGATCGCTTTGGATTTCCCACCGCTGGTGCTGCTGTTCTTGAGCCGACTTCTTACCGTCAGACTGTTGTTCATCCTGAATGGCAGTTTGCGATGGCAGAGGAGATTGCTGCTCTTGAACGCACTGGTACCTGGGATCTTGTTTCTCTTCCTCCCGGAGTCCGTCCGATCACTTGTAAGTGGGTCTACAAGGTTAAGACTCGCTCCAATGGTTCTCTTGAGCGTCACAAAGCTCGTCTTGTGGCTCGTGGTTTTCAGCAGGAGCACGGTCGTGATTATGACGAGACTTTTGCTTCTGTGGCCCATATGACCACTGTTCGTACACTTCTTGCCGTTGCCTCTGCACGCCACTGGTCTATATCTCAGCTTGATGTTAAGAATGCCTTTCTTAATGGTGAGCTGCGTGAGGAGGTGTACATGCAGCCACCACCTGGGTATTCTGTTCCTAATGGCATGGTATGTCGTCTTCGTCGCTCTCTCTATGGCCTTAAGCAAGCCCCCCGCGCCTGGTTTGAGCGATTTGCCTCTGTGATCACTGTTGCCGGTTTTTCAGCAAGTGCTCATGATCCAGCATTGTTTATTCACCTTTCTCCTCGTGGTCGGACTCTTCTTCTTCTCTATGTTGATGACATGATCATCACGGGGGATGACCCCAGGTATATTGCCTTTGTAAAGGCCCGTCTTAGTGAGCAGTTTTTTATGTCTGATCTTGGACCTCTTCGCTACTTTCTTGGGATTGAAGTCTCTTCTACCTCTGATGGCTTTTTTATATCCCAGAAAAAGTATATCCAGGATCTTCTTGCTCGTGCTGCTCTTACTGACGAGCGCGTTGTTGAGACTCCTATGGAGCTCAATGTTCACCTACGTGCTACTGATGGTGATCCTCTCCCTGACCCGACGCGTTATCATCATCTTGTTGGCAGTCTTGTCTATCTAGCTGTCACTCGTCCGGACATCTCTTATCCGGTTCATATTCTGAGTCAGTTTGTCTCTGCTCCCACCTCGGTTCACTATAGTCATCTCCTTCGTGTTCTCCGCTATCTTCGAGGCACAATCTCTCACCGTCTATTCTTTCCTCGCTCCAGTTCTTTACAGCTTCAGGCCTATTCGGATGCTACGTGGGCTAGTGATCCTTCAGATC